CCAATTCATGACTGATTGAAGTGAACAGTGCGGTGACATCGAAGGAAAGCATGATTTCATCGTCTTTTATTCTGACACTTCGCAGTTTTTTGAGGAATTGTTCAGCATTGTTGATGCTATGTTCGGATCGGGCAACCAAATGTTTCAACCTCTTCCACAAATCCTTTGCTAGTTTATATGACGGGGTTCCGGGGAGCGAGACGATTGGTCGTAGTGGGACTCCATCTTTGTGTACTTTTGGTAATCCATAGAACAGTGCAATGTTTGTATCATCCGCTTTCATTCTCCATCTCTCTGTGGCGATGAGCTCCTTCTTTGTTTGTAGTTTCTTCAGCGTTGCGTTATTAACGCAATCAGAGTTACCAGTTTTTGTTTTCATTGCCTAACTGTAGCCAGCTTGTCCTCTCGCTATAGGATGCGAAAAGTCGGAGACGCTGATGTGGCTACCACCAGTCAAGGTGGGGTAGGCATCGTTGGCAGCTCTAAGGCTGACTGAATGTTGCGTGATTGAATTGCCGTGAGCTACCGTTTATGTGCAGCCCGTTCGATGACAACAAGTAAGATTGGTTCGTAAAGTAGCAGTAGACGCTTATGCCCGTACTGACTGCAGCTATGATGCTGCCAAGAACGCCTGCTACGAAAAACTGTGCACACTGCTACGCAGCATTATTAGTACAGATTTGCTTGTCGTTTCGGGGGATATGAATAGGCAAGTAGGTCAGCTGAGCTCTTCAAAAGCTCAGCATCTGTTGCGACAGTGCGCGGAACAACGGTTGTTTCTTGGTAACATTGAATTAAGACGCACCGGCCGCCGAAGTTTAACTTAGCGTTCATCTATGGCTGGCCAGCAATGGACCAAAATAAATGATGTTGCCGAAAGTTACAGAAGGCGTGGTCACATCCTGGACTGTCATTCGCTCTATAATGCCTGCATCGACTCTGATCATGCTTTGGCAAGTTGTCGTTTTACCATGAGATTCCCCGAGGCACACAAAGCGTCTCTCTCGATTGGCAACTGAGAGGTTATATTAGTCATCGGTCAGCCAAGTATAACAGGAAGTCCTGAGTAGCGAATTTACTTTCGCTGTAAAAGACAACAAGCTTCAGAGGAATAGGATATCAATCGCCATGAACGATGCAGGAGCCTCTGCTTGGGACACTATCAATCGTCACCGCACCAGTCACTGGGCACCCGAATGGTCGATGAACCCGCTGGAATCTACGAAACTGCCGGCTACCTCTGAGCACAACGTAACCAGATGGTCTACAAAAGGCGAAACAAAGAGAACCTGCACGTTGGCAAGAAAGTCTGATGGAGCAATTGGATTCAAAAATGAGGTACGAGGGAACAGTAGGCAATTACCACAAGCTCTTCCAGCTGATCTGCACTAGTGGTCCCAGAACCCAGGTGTCAATAAGACAACCACAGACAGCATGTGCGTCCTTATTCATAACAAGAAGCGCCGTACGACTCGTCAGGCGAAGCAGTTTGAGAACAGTTGAGTTTGCCCCTTGTTTCTGGGTCTCTTCTTGCTCAGGTGATGTAAGACTGAGGCCATGGCCGGTAAGTTTAGAGGCTCCATCGGAGGCTGAAGTCCGAAACGCGATCACAGCCGTTAATCATTTTCAAGCCGCTGGCCCGGATTCCCTCCCAACTGCACTATTTAAGGATGGTGGTGAGGTTCTCTGCAGGGCACTGACCTCTCTGTTCGAACAGCTCTAGAAGGAAGAGATCATTCCAAGTTACTGGGGTAAATCGATCGAAGTGTCGATATACAAGAAAGGCTGGCTGACTCTGAATCATAAGGGTATTAGATTAATGCAAATGGCCTGAAGAGACTCTTGCATCAAGAGCAAAACGTTGCCACAACAATGACCTAAAAAACCGATTTGTATACAAAGCCTACAGAAATCAAGACAAATCATTAGTCGCGATTTTCATCCGTCATCTCATTGTGGAACGGGAATCCCGGACCAGGGAACAGCAGGAAGGTTGCCGCACATGACGGGCCGTATAGACCATGTCTTTACAATGTGGTAAATGCTGGAGCAGTCACAATCATTGCAGAGCGATAATAGTTGCGTTCTTTAATTGCAAGAGTGCGGATGACAGTCGATCGATCCATTCGTTCGAAATACTTGCATGAAAAAGTGTTCCACTGAAATGCAAACATTTACGTACCCTGTACTCGTACACCACAGACAGCGTCAGAGGCTACGGTGATTGTCGGATATCTTCCAGACAACAAGTAGCGCACATCAGGGTTGTCCAATTTTTCCATGTTGGTTCAACTTCGTCATGAACTCCAACATGGAGTGTCACTTGGTGGAGTCTCATGATGCACGCGTTGAAATGTTGAGTGGTGAGACGCTAGTTGATCTTGATTATGTGGACGCTATTGTCATGCTGTTTAACGATGCTGGGACGGCGCAATCAACCTTGAATAACCTCTAGGGCGGTCCCATTATTTGGTATGCACGTTAGACCTTAAAAGCGTCAAATGTTGGGGCAGGATCACCGGCCCTTCGATGATCCCTTGGCACTTGATTGCGAGGTATTTGATCAAATCACTTACCGTGGCAACTGTATCAGCAAGGAGGGGCGCATAACCGTTGAAGTTAGGTTAGTTGCTTAGAATAACAGATAGCAATGAATAAGTCGCATTGGTTTGAACACCTATTACGTATGTTCAGTCACCATTTACCGAGGACCCTATTTTGTTTGCCAGATGTAGAAATGTGCAAAGCTCGAGGTGGAGAAAATTTGATTTGGAGGCGGGAAATAAAGCCGCTGACTAAGACCAAGCGCTGTTGGTCCGTCCCGCCTTCCAGGGTAGAGTGCATGCGACCAGCCTGGGGCTTAGCTCGAGACTTTACAGGACACGACTGGCATTCGGCACCAGCAGCGCGTTTAGTGTCGTCTTCTAGTCGGAGTACCTGCATAAAGTGTGTTTGGTGTTGAGTTATTTGCGGGATAATGGCTGATTTTGACGCGGAGCAATGAAAGTCGCAAGGAAGCTGTCTCGGAAATACCGCCTTATCGTTGCATGATAGCCAGCTGCTCGTGACGGCATGTTGTTGACACAAGGTGTATGCGCGCTAAACTTGGACGTTTGCTTATAGCATTAAGGTTTTTCACTAGGTTGTTTCCTTTCCCTCTTATTAATTTTCCTTTGGTGAGTCACTGTGGTTGTACGGCTGCGAAGCATCAGTTCAAATGGCTGATGTGCTGTTCTTGCTTCTGTCAGTGTTGGCAGATCGGTAAAATACATAAGCTCCTCACTTCAATGACCCATCTAAGACAGAAACTGGATCATCCAAATTGAAATCATTTGGTCGAAAATCCAGAAACTGTAGTTGCTGAAAGAGGAACGATCAGCTGTAATAGACAATAGGCAGCTCCTCAAAAGCAAGTTGATCCAAAAGGCTTGTGTAAAACTTCCATTGATTCATTCATTATACACGTTAGCTGCAAATGGAAAAAACCTCAGCTATTGTGCCGCAATACTAAAGACAAGAAGGACAAAAATGCACAACAGTAGCACGCCGGCTGAGTCTCCAGTAACGGATGGACATCGTTCCGGAGAGTTAACAGCCGGCTATCGTGCCCCAAAAATCGTAATTGGAGGGGGAAGCTAAGCAGGAGTGGATGGGCAAAGGAACTCACAACACAAACGCCACTGTGGCCGGCTCCAAGCCATATCAGCAAGTGTGCCCAACCAAACGTGTTCACCGTCCTTAGGACCCCAGCCAGGCAGTCGAGACGCACCAACCGACGCCAACCGAACTAAGGGTTTTCATCTCTCTCGACCAAGTCATCACTTGGCCTCCCCTCTTCCTCTTTCAACCGCACCCACAAAGCGCAAACAATGCACGTCGCGGAAGTCGGTGTGCTGGCATGCGCAACACGTGGCCCAACCATCGGAGCCTGGTGCGTGATATAATGGTGCTGAGCGGTTCACTCGCTCTTCCTGCACTAAATACGCGACTCCCAACACGATCATTGCTCACGCAGTGCCCCCACCAGACATGAGATAAGCTGCGAAGGCAGCGATGATCGAATGTGACGAGCCTCTTTATGTCTGTCGACCTGATGGGCCAGGTTTCACAAGCATATAGGAGAGTTGAACGGACGGCTGCGTTATAAACTCTGCCCTTCAGGGCGAGAGTAATGTCGCGTCTGCGCCACAGGTGGCCGAGATTGGCACAAGCACCTCGAGCTTTTGCTATACGGTTCTGAACCTCATCTTCAATCCCACGGGCGCTAATATAGTTGCGCAGATACTTAAATTTCTGAACGACTTCTAGCTCATCAGCACCAGGGGTGAGTGCAGGGGTAAGTCCTTGCCAATCTTGGAGAAGTACTTTGTATTTCGATGGAGCAAAGCATAGCCCAAAACGATTGACAGCCAGTGCCAATCGGTCCAGTGTTGCTTGACATGTTTGGGAACTGTCACAGATTAGGACAATATCGTCCGTGTACTCCAAGTCAAGAAGTCGCTCACCAGGAAGTAAATCCACACCTTCTAGATCGTGTCCAGCGAACACTGTTTCCATGATTTCATCAATAGCGAAGTTAAAGAAGAAAGGTGACAGCGGGAATTCTTATCTCACACCGCTGGTGATACTGAAGGGTGGCGACAGTCTGCCATAAAGCCTAACTCTGCCTGAACTATGCGCGTACAGCGCTTTAATAATGTTTACGCACTTATCAGGCACACCTTTCCTCAGGAGACAATCCCAAAGGGCACATCAATCGATTGGGTCGAAGGCACCTTTTATGTCAAGAAACTCGACAACGGTGGGTCGCCATTAAACATGGCGGCGCTCCAACGGTCATTGAGATAAATTCCAACTGAGGAATTGGTGATCATAAAAGTTAACGTAGTGAAAAGCGTAGTTGGGCACATGCGAAAATGAGGAGAGGTACCCTTAAGGGTAAGCTCAAAAGACGTATTTAAGGGGTCGAATGTAACAAATTTTCAAAAACAAGTACTGACCTTTGAAGAATGGAATATTCAGTGTGGATAGAATTTCAGTATATGCATTACAGACGTTGTTGTACGTTTCCAAAGCATTCGAGGGAGTCTGGTCAAAACTATACAGATCTGGAAGGGGATACTAGAAGAAGCCTCAAGAACAGATTAACCTTTCATGATAAATTCGCGACAACGCAAAAGTCCATGACGCGGTCGTAGCTCGTCCCTGAACTTGCTGGAAATCTAGCAATCAAAGAAAGAGCATTTTGCCACCTGATAGAGTAATACTGGTAGAGTTTTGTATGAAATATCAAAGTTGCTCAACAATGATGTGATTTCTTCTTCGTGGGTCTTGAGTAGAAACAAAGTAGCAAATAGAATTTACGGGCTGAAGACAATAATGCTTGTCATTTCGATCAGTTAGGCGAAACAGCTGGTCCAACGCAGTCCATCTGCCTTGATGAAGGTAGACAAATATCACAATGCATACCGGATGTTTCCCATGCTTCCTTTGCACCCAAACACGGCAACCATAAACGCTGAGCACCCAGTGCGGTCATCTTTGACGACACCAGGTTTGTAAACTTTTCCAGAACCCTATTGAACAAGGGCAACAAGACAAAGACCCCGGCGGAACTATGTGATATGAAACCTGCGTAGGTAAGAAGCTATGGAAGTACTCGCCATCAGATCGCACTACTTACTCGCTGACTCAAACAAGAATCGTGAGATGCCGAGAACACTGCGGTGGGTCGCACCAGAATTCGTGAGAAGAAGGAGTACATGAGTTCACGTGCCAAGCGTAAAGCGTCACCGGGTGAAATTATGGGAGGACAGAAGAGGACTGAAACCGTAACAAGAATAACATACCAATATTTGGGCAAAAAAGTTTATAGGTAGTGAGTAGCCAAGTTTGAAAACATAGTAACCGATAACGTCCCAACAAACGCCTATGGGATACATAAGGTTACAACAGATTCATCACCAGCTGCTAATTACCAAAGTTGGTACGCAGAGGTTGTGAACAACCGATTTAAGACGAAGGTGTCATCAATTGATAATACAAGCTGAAAATGACTCTCGAAGCTATCTATCCCCAAAAGATAGGTTTCGCAGAAGTGAGGGATGCTGTGCGGTTACTGAAACCCGACTGGATACCAGCTCGATTGCTCGCCACATACTCGATTGCTCTGTGTGCCAAAACCCACGCAGATTGTTCAAGGTCATTAATAAACGAAGAGAAGAGAATTGGTGCTGGATCTAGATTGTTGCAGAACACGTAAAAAGCAAGATAACTCGCACCATACCAGTAAATCCAAAATGTAGCCTCTTTTAGTTTAGAATGCTATAGACGTGACGTCTAGTGAGAGGAAGGCATGACCTACGGAGGCTAGCCACTGTCATCTGCTAAGGTTGTAACCCATAGCAATGAAGACTGGGAGCTCAGGTTGTTCAGATGGCTGTTGAACTGTTCGCTGAGCTTGGCAAGTTTGTTGCAAACGTTTCGTCACCAATCGAGGTGACATCATCAGTGCGTAGTTGAGTGGCTTGCAATAGCGAAGAGTAGCGTAGAGGAGCCCCGATGAGAGAGCACCCTCACCGAGGCTCCTCTACGCTATTGCACGCCACTGAACTACGCACTGATGATGTCACCTCGATTGGTGACGAAACGTTTGCAACAAACTTGCCAAGCTCAGCGAACAGGTCAACAGCCATCTAAGGTTGTAACCTGCGTGGCAGTGGAAGATAGGTCGTGCTACATCCCAATTACCTTGCAAATTGTGTAGCCGAGCCGACGTCCCCTATGACTCTGTGGCTTAAGCTGTTGGCTAGTTGGCATCTGTCTCTAGCGGTCATGGGCTCGACCCCCAGTAGGTGAAGGAGGGAATGCGCACCAATGACGAGCCCCAATAGGGAGAAACGCGTCTGGTGCTTTTCCGGGCTAGACTGTGCTATGCAACTTGTGAGCAGCTAGGAGGGAAATATTACAATTATAATAAATAAAAAAATCCTCCCACTCATTAGTAAATCCAAAAGAGTTCAGTATTCGGATTACGTGTGGTGACGGCGTACACGGTGGATAGTGCGCTTTTTTGTCGGTTTGTAGAATGACGCATGGAACACGCAAGCCATTTGACAGAGAAAGTGAAGAACGATAAATAGAGATTGTTATTGCGACTGAAATACCCAGTCAGCTGTCGAGTGGCTAGCTTCCAATTTTTACATTGCATTAGATGCCTACCAAGTCAACGAACGTATGCCGTCACATTCGGCTACTTCTGTTTTAGTTCAAATTCACAAGGTAACTGTTCGAATCATAGATGGAGCAGCTGACTAAGTGGAATATATAACAGAGCGGCTCACTCAACCTTTACTCAGAAGAGGTAAGATCTATGGCATCAAGTAGCACGTCATTACCACTCACATGTCAGAAATTCAAAACTTGCAAACAAAACTGTCTTACCCTATAGCGAGCTATAGAAACGGACAATGAACCACACAACGAAGAGCCGGTTCGATAATTAGTCTGGCTAATAAGACAGCAGATGAAGTAGCTCACGGCATTCTAGTGATTTATATGTAAAGGTAAAAAAACCGTTTTATCCCCATCCGGTAGCAGATAAGTTGGGGAAATGAATATGCCGACTCGTTAACAGAGAGCGGCGGTAGTTGCCTGAACAGTCTTCCACAGCAAAGTTGATTAGTAGCCGTAGACCACAATATGAAGTGATACAGGTGATGAAGTGAGTGTGATCCGTTAGGTTAGTTAATCAAATATGAGAGCAGTGCGACAATTCAGAATGACTTCAGCTACCTTAAGAACTGTGTCAATATTAATAATACTAATAGTAAAGGATGGAAAAAATCGTCTAGAAAACGGATGAAACCGCGTGACGGAACGGGCTGAGGCTTCATAGCCCATAATGTGTGCATAAAAGCAGCCCTAAAAACATTTTTTAAACAGGTAGTGGCTTATTGCGAAGTTGCCACACCGCATACAGCCAGTTGAAGCATGGAATTGTGGGTGAAACCCATCGAAGAAATACTCTGCATGGAAGCAGGCCTCCTGCGGACGGTTTCATAGATGGCCATATTACTTTACTTGAACTGGTTAAATCTGCATTTGTTATTTTTCCCAGTTTATTAATCTCTTTAATACATTCAAACTGCCAATCTCTACAGAAACCTATTTTGGATCCAGTGTATCAAACGTGAACAACTAAATACTTTATGCGATCTCGTTGTAGAAATTGATCCGACCACTCAGTTGGACTGTGCCTCACATTGTCGAGGAATATACCATTTATTTATTCATAGAGAGGGGGCAGGAGACTACGCAAAATAGCGCCGCCAATCTGTAGAACGCGTCAAAAGAGATGAGGTTTCAAACTAAGGCGAGGCTGATCCCGAGGTCCCTAACCGGGACGGCAAAATGCACCGGCTCAATCAAGCTTTTCGAACAGGCACTTCAAGTTCGCTAAAGGTGTCACCTACTAGCTTTCTATAAGTTTCATTAGAACGGATATAATGTTGGTAAAACAGGACGGGAGTTTGCAATAGGCATGAACACGAAGGAAGTGGTGAACAAAAGCAACAGATTGCTTCGGACTTTCGGGCAAACCCCAGATCCTGGATATTGGATTGAAAGATAAAAGTGGTAATGGAATGCGGTACTAGCTGAGCACGGTAAAACCAAATGGCAGTCAGTTAAGTGAGTATAACATGAATCATCCCCATTATCAGTACACACGCTAACCAGAGGTGCGGAACACCTCAGTTACTATGCAGAAATACAAACCAATTAGACAGTAAAAGGAAAAGAAATAATAAAAAGTAAGATGTATATCACAGTTGGAGACTGAGGACGCGATTGGAAGGGGGCTAATCGGGAGAGGGATGGACAAAGTCCCAACAAACTCCAATGAGGTCGGCTCATCGTCAAGTCAACTAGTGTGTCCAACCAAACGTGATCACCGTCCTTGGACCCCAGTCCAGCGATCGGCAGGCACCAATTAAGGCATCGCTTGGCCTCCCCTTCTGTTCTTACATCTACACGCCGGTCGCGTAAACAGTGTACGCTGCGGAGTCGGTGGTATCATCATCATCATCATCGCCTACGTGAAGCGATGAATGAGGCCTGCAGATAATGTGCTAGTGTTGAAGGCTCAGATGGACAGCCACGAACCTCGAGCACCGATCGTGCGTCCGCGTTGGCGGCACACTTCGTCTCCGGATTTTCAAGTGACCAGGTGTCTATAACGAGTGCGACGAGTACCGCTCCCGTGGAACTAAACAGTCTAGACTGCAGCATCGAAGATGTACGCAAGCTTCTAGCAAGTCTTGACAGGACGAAGCCTGCCGGACCAGACGGAATCCACCCACTGATCCTCAAGTCCCTATCGGCCATCATCTCGACTTCTCTAATTGAGCTGTTCAACAGGTTACTATCCACTGGCTTATTACCGGGCGACTAGAAATGCTCAGTCGTAAAGCCAATACCGAAAGGTGGTAATTCAACCAAAGTGGATAACTACCGGCCGATCTGCCTGACCTCTGTTTTGTCAAAGACGCTTGAGAAGATCGTGAAGAAGAGTCTTCTGCAGCTTCCCGAGTCGAAAAGCCTTTTGACGCCCGCACAGGATGGTTTCGTGAAAGGTCGCTCATGCATCACTAACCTACCGTTGAGGCACAAATGGTTGCAAGCGCTGAACCAAGGCAAGTCGGTTGACGTCATTTACATTGGCTTCATTTACATTGACAAGGTGAATCATGCAGTACTCCTCGACAGGCTGAGGATGTGCGGCGTTGGCGGCTCGCTGCATTAATGGATCAAAAATTTCCTTGTTACTCGAAAGTGGGAGGTCCAGGTCGAGAACCATTTGACCGGCTGGTATCCATCGAGCGATAGCGTGCCCCAAGGCACTGTACTGGGGCCGATTTTGTTTCTGATGCACGTAAACGACGTGGCTCAGCTACTCCATTCACTGCATGCGTTGTTCACAGATGATTTGAAGGTGTGGAGAATAATCCGCGGACCCAATGACTGTGACCTGCTTCAGCAGGACCTCGACCGCCTCTCCACGTGGTCTGCAGAGGTCAACCTTCCGACCAACCAAGTCAAGTCGCAATTCACGAGGCTGGGTAATTGTGAGCATAGTCGAAGCTACACGGTGGCAGATCAACCGAAGCATCTTGCGCCTTTCGTGCGAGACCTCGGTTTACTCTCACGCTACGACCTAAGGTTCATGGACAACACAAACAGGCTTTATCAAAAAGGTCTTCGTAAGCTTTAGACGCTCAGGCACAGCTTCAGCACTTGGTCCGAAGAGATTGCCACTCGTCTCTTGGTCACAATAATACGACCATTTTTAGATTATGGCTTTCCCGCGTATTGTCCTATCATCCAGGGTGAGGTGAGAAAGGTTGAGCGAGTGCAGCATGGGGCCACCAGGATGATTTCCAATTTACGAGGTGTGCCGTACCAAGACTGGTGTAAGCAATTAGGGCTTTACACCCTAGCTTATCGTCGACTGCGGGTGCACCTCACCATGACGCACCGGATATTACACTTGGGTGATTACCCTATGTTTAGGCCGCTGCTTCATCTGCCAACACACCAAGCAGCATACGAGGACACCGGTACAAGCCTGTAGTAGCGGATTTGAAGCGGGTCGCTCACCAACTCTGTTTCGAACGCAGAGTGGTGAATGTGTGGAACAATCTGCTGCAGCACGTAGTTGAGACAAAGCCGGTGTCGGAATTTATATAATTCCTGGACGAACAC